TCTCGTCGCTGGTTGTCCTAAACATGCATGTTGGGTTAGTTAGGTAAGATATGTCTTTCTTTATACACATATTTGATAATTATCATTTAATCATATAGATAATTTTGTTATTTCCGTGGAGATTTTTTTGGTAAGAATATAGTTTTAACAAAGATGGAACAAGCTTGGTTCGGCTGTTTCTCTTCCTTAAACAATCAGTTACTTCCTTATCGAGTTCATCTTGATACAGTATGGAGTATAGATTTTACTTTAAATTTAATGTTTTGTTTGAAATGCGATAAGTTTCTAGAAATCCAAAAGATATCAAAACTTGAAAACTTTACATAAACGAGCGGGTTAGTTAAAAAATCTTGGTCAATCAATTTAGAGGTGTCATTTAATCGTAGATATTAATATTTAAATGCAATGCTATTTATTTAATTATTTGAATCACTTTTAAAAATTCAATGTTACTAACATTTGTATTTGTATATCATAGCTGAAATATTCCAAAGTTTAGTATATTCAAATAAGATTTGAAACAATTTATTAAAAATTGTATTATTCGAAATTAAAATATTTTGAAAATCTGTCTATACGAATCATTTGGATGAACTCTAGTGGACTGTAAAATAAATCATAAAAAGAATTTCAAACTGAATTTTGGAAATTTTAGAATTCACACACAAGAATTCTTAAAACTAATATCAAGTTTTAGTCTTTAATATGATAAAACCTACAGAATTGAATTTAAATATATGAATAATTAATGGTATTTCGTTGCTGGCAACAATATTTTCATGATTATTGTTTACAAAGTTGATGAAAATAAAAATATGGAGAATTTGATAAACTCGGCTTGGGACATCGGAAGTTTGTTTTTACCAAAATAAATGTATCGGAAGTTTGGTAAAAAAAACGTAGGATCAGGCAATCCGAATAAAATTTATAAATTAACTTGAAAGTGAGGATGTTTTGAACAAGAATTTATCATAAATTTAACTTTTTTTGTTAGATTGAGCCAAATCCAACATATAAGACTGATATAGTTTTCACTTCAACTAAAATACAAGGAATTGAAAAGTTCAATAACGTTTGTTTGTATACATTCCATATCTTCTGGATTTTTATATACTAAAAATACGACTTTGTGGACTAGAAATTGGAAGATAATGATGACAAATCGAATGAAAAAACGAAAAGTCAGCCGAGTTGTGGAGTAGTGGAAGTATGTGGTGGGATTTATTAACGAACTTACAATACATCAACATTATGATAATGCACGTCTTTGTTACGTAACTTTGACTACATATATGACAACACATCTCTTTTCGAGGACGTCATCACCATGGACCTGACCCTGTCGGTCGATTTTACTAGATACCAATTCGTCTTTGTTTTTAGAGCATTTGCATCCCATATACAAACTAAACCCCTAAATTAACTATCTACCTTTTTTTTTTCTTATCTCCCCTCCATCCCCTCTCACTATTTTTCCCTCAAAACCATGACATATTACTAATATCCAAGTTCTTTATGGATTTTAGGCCAATTCACCCTTGTTTTTATGTGTTTATATCTCTCGCCCAATTAATCTCGAATTTATAACACATTTGTATTATATTTTAGCGAGTTTTTCTTTGTTGATCTCCGCTTTAAAATCTGGCTGAGTAACATACAACAATATAATATTTTTTTTTATATTTGCTTTAAACAACAAATGTTCCTTTTAATGTAAAACAATAACAAAATTACTTTAGTAAAAAACAAAAACACAAATCAAACTGAAGGTGAGAGGTTGATTCGATTAGTGCCTAATCTTGTTTATCTTCCTATCTCAGAAAATTATAGATCAGGCAATTATTGAGATTAATGTAGTCATCTTACAAAAATTAAATTCGACTTGAATTAAATATGTCTAACCAAGTATATCTAACCTATATAAATTAATAATATTTTAAAATTTTATTAATTTATAGAGATGGTAGTTTACAAAAGTTTCTTTATTTAGATTTTTTATTTTAAGATATATTTATTTTAAGAAAAAAAATATGAATTTAGTGTATAGACCTTAATTATTGGAGGTTTTATTGTAGCTAGTTTGGTAATATGTAACATAATTATTTAGTTTCTGAATTTTATTTCTATCAACAACAAAATCACTCTCACTTAGACATTATACAGTGTCATGTATAAACAATTGATTTGGTTATAATAATTCATCCTAACCGATTAGTCAGACTTCCATCCAAATCAATCTTTAAACATCTCCAAATAACATTTTATGGCTTCAAAACTATTTTTTTGTTTTTCAAAAAAATTATAGAGTAACCGTTCACAGCTAATGGTTTGTTAGTTTTTGGAGGTTTGAAATTATTATTTACTAACCTTACCATCATGACATTTCCTACGCTTTGAATTCATTCACACGGTATCGAAAATCACTTTCCGATAAGTTGTTCACCATTCTCTTACTCCATTTATGCACATTTTAACTCTGAAATTCTAAACGAATGTATGATAAAAAAATATAAGTACATTTTAGTAAAGTAAATAGCCAAATCAATTATTTTAATTATTTTCCATATACCACAATCCGAATGTTACCATTCACTACCTCACACAAAACGCAATATTTTTGTTACACCCTAAAATCATTAGTGAATCCACATAAACCTCCACATTCATCTAGGTTCGACTCCAATACCACGTGTAATGCTCTGACCGCCCACGGTAATGGGCCATCCACATCATCTTACTCGGCCATGGACCCCATTATATGGATATGGGTAGCGTTAATTTTTCGAAAGCTTGAAAATTTTGTTTACTGACCCTGCCACATGACATTTCTCTATTTTTTGACTTCACTTACACGTTGTCGAGAATAGATAGTCAAAACAATTATTTTAAACCGTTTCCATATACCACAAATCGGGATGTTACAAAAAATACCACAAAAAAATCTAAACAAAAAAATTAAAAACTACATAAATACATAACAAATTTAAATAGTACAAGAACACTAATAATTAAGTAAGTTTGATTTCGAACCTCCAAAATCACCAAAATAGTTTAAATAAATTTTATGTGCCCTGGTTGTTGTTCTTGATGTATTATTCGTCAATAAGGGATACAAGATCAATGGCTGAAGCACCACTTGAAATAGTGAAAAATGAGGATATTAAATTGCAATAAATTTTAGTTCGTATTCTACAAATTAATCAAATTACCTCGAAATGCACTAGTTGATCATATATAGAAGCATTACAGAAATATTTCTATAGAATAATGTGGTATTTTGTTTGTAATTTAATATATAGTTATGTATTTATATGTAAAATATATTTTAGTGTACTATTTTATTAATTAATATTACTGTACTATTTTTATACATATGCAGTTATTTATAATTTTTATAGATTTAAATTAATTATAAAAATATATAGATTATAGTATAAAATATAAATATTTTGGAACTTAAGTTTACAATTCTGCTTCTCGAGAAGTACTCTCTTATACTTTAAATACAAATATTTGCAAACTTTAAAATATGATATTTTTTGGAGATGCTAGTAGTTATATATAAGAAACGGATAGACATTCTGTCGACAACCTTTGCATCAATGATTTAAAAAGAGCATATACATGTGGTTTGAAGTAAACCAACTTATCCTCATAATTTTCAAAAATTCATGTATAGACAAAGCACAGTGTGAACCATCTTGTACCAAAATGTTAGAAACATAAATACAAAAATATTTAATAGGGGTTACAGTAATTCAGTGTATAAACACAAAGAAAGGCACAACACACGTTAAGATAGGAAGGATCAAACCTCCGTGGCTCTGAAAAATTAATAGGCCGCCGGATGCAACATGGAACCATATTACATACTCGTTGTCAGACGAGATCTAAGACAAAAGTTATGTTGGAACAAGACTTAAACCATTTGAAGAATTAAAGAAAAACACCATTTCTTACACAACTTTTCTATAGGTCATTCATCCTTTTATTACTCTAGTCCAAACACGTATAAATTTAGAGTTCTAAACGGATGTGTGACAGAAAAGATAACTCGATTTTGGTGATATAAATTCTCTTAAACCTTTCCATATATCACAACTCGGGAGATTACAATTTACCATCTCTCAAAGAACGCAACATACTCGTTGCGTCTCACGATGGGTCTTAAGATGCCTCTCGGATCGGAATCAAGATACCTAACCAGCTCTGATACGATTTGTAACGCTCCGACCGCTCAGGATTAATGGGTAACCCACACTCGTTTTCTCGGCCCGTGGATCTATTCCGTTCTAACGGCCAGTCCGTTAATTTTTTAGGCACAAAAGTCTTATTTACTAACCCTACAATCACCACCCAATATTTCTCTGTATTTTGGCATCACTCGCACGATATTGCGAATCACTTCTTAATAGATCATCCATCATTTTATTATTTCAACCCAAATACGCTTAAACAAATATGTGACGGAAAAGATAAATCGACTTTAGTAATATAGATAATCAAATCAATTATCTTAATTTTTTCCTTCTATTACAATTCGGGATATTACATAAACATAATTGAACTAAAAAAAAAAAGTGAAGGATATAGAAGTACAAGTCTATAGACCACCAGATCCTGATTAAAAAAAAAAAGTCAAGGATATAGAGGTACGAGCCAATAGACCACCGGATCCTGATTAAAAAAAAAGGATCATCGTTATTGACGTTCATGCCATCCACCGCAAAGCCCATCAAAGTTCTTGGTAATAATCGCGTGTGTTTGGATTAGCCCATTACAAAAAGCCCATAAACTGGTAACGAACATTTTAATCCCCCTTGTTTTCATAACTCAAAAGCATGACGATATCCAACCAATAACAAAACGCCAAGTGTATACTGAAGATCATAGAATCGAAGAAAATGTTGATTTGAATATCTCTTTGTCAAATTTTGTGAGAGAGCATTGTCTCTGTTCTTCACCAGATCGGATATTAGGATTCCTTTGATATTGCGTTGATGGCATCGAACCCTCACAGAGGCGGTGCGGGTGGTTCCCTCTACGGCGGCGCCGCTCCATACAGATCAAGGTATTTTTATTTTTTGAAATTGATTTCTCGGATCATGTGGATAGAGATTTACGGTTCATGTGTTTGGTAACAGAGATGGACTAAGCACTAGAACCGGTGCTGGTTCAGAGGAAATCCAGCTAAGGATTGATCCCATGCACTCTGATCTTGATGATGAGATCACTGGTCTCCATGGCCAAGTCAGACAATTGAAAAATGTAAATTACCTTCTATGTTTATTTTTGCTTGTCAAGGCTTTGAGCATTAAACTGATTATTGCAAACATGTTATCTCTTAGTTATTGTTATAGCTATTATATAGTCAAGTCAGGGGTACTATAACATAACTTTTGTACATGGTTGAAGGAATCAATGGAAAATCTCTACAATTATTCCTAGTTTTTTTTTTCACATAACTGATAGCTCATAGTTTTTTTTTCTGTTTCAATCCGCTGATTGCTTATCTTTTAATGCAGATTGCTAAAGAAATTGGGTCAGAAGCCCAGTTTCAGAAGAACTTCTTAGATGAGCTGGTATGTTTCTTGATTCACATTTATATACTTACTCACCACCTCTCAGTGTGGGGTTCCTTTGGAATCTATAGCTACTTCCCAAAGTAGGTTAGATAAATTCTAGCATTGAATATTATAGCATAGCCAGCCATAGTTCAGACTTATAGTACTCGGGGTCTGGTCTGAAGTCTGAACTCTGGTCGGTAGGAAATGGTTCCATCTTATTGTTGGCTACCACTCTCCTCATGAATGAGAGTATGGTGTTGAAGTTAAAAGGCATTGCTTTTAGTTCATTCTCTTTCTGAAGAACTTCCAAAACAAGACTATGGAAAATAACTAGATTTGGTTGCAGAAACACACATTAAGTGCTGTTATAAAGATGCTCTAGGATGCACAACAAAAAAAAAAAAAAACAAGTGGAGCAAATGTTGTTCTTGTCTGAAACATAAAATAGTTCTAATGGTGTTCTTATCTTCTTTTCAATCTGGTGACACAGCAAGTTACGTTGATGAGAGCGCAAGCCGGGGTGAAGAACAACATAAGGAAGCTGAACTTGAGCATCATACGTAGTGGAAACAACCACGTCATGCACGTTGTTCTTTTCGCACTCACGTGCTTCTTTATTCTCTACATGTGGTCTAAGATGTTCAAAAGATGAAAGAGAGACTCACGATGGCATTGCGTATGATATGCTTGATGACTAAGGTTGAAAGATTGTAGAAAATATCTTTTAGTTAACGACATTTTGTGGTTCTTCTCGTTCCCCGTTATATAGAGTGCTTAGTTTGAACAGTTACATTACACATGTTTCTCTATTCGAATTGTTTGTTAAACCGGTTTTAAATCTGGTCTTAACCCGATTCATGAGATGTCAAATTGCTAATTGCTAAAGTGAGTCTCGGCGAGTTGTGACAATATGAGGCGATTGTTGGGCTTATACGAATTGTGACATATGAAACTAGTATTGGGCTTTATGGGAAGAAGTATATAACTCTCTACACTGTAGTATAAAATAAAATTGGGAAGGAAGGAGATAAGAAAAAGAGAAAAGAAAAATCAATGGCTGCTTCCTTATCCACCTCCGTTGTAGCTTTAGCTTCGTCGCGCCTATGGCGGCACCCTGCTTCCAACGCCGGGAAGATTAGCGTCCCTTCAGCTTCGCTTTCTCTCCGCTCTGGTTCTAGACGGAGTCATTTGTCTCTCGGCTCTTCTGCTACTTCTGCCAACGCTTCTTCTCAGCTGCTCCATTGCTCTTTTCTCTCTTCACCTCTCTCCCTATCGTCTACATTTTCTGGTTAGTATCGTCAATACCTCATTACATTTGCAAATCCTTTTTTGGTTAGCTTACAGCAGACATCTTGGCAGTTATTAGTTATTACATTCGGCTGCATCTCACTCTAATGTTATTGCTATGTCTAATTCAACGAAGAAACATGACTCTAGCTCTTTACGAAATCTACTGCCAGTAGTTTGGGATATGCATCGGTTAGATGTTCTTAGTATGCTCAAGCCTTGACAATCTATAATGATTGATATTTTGTGACAATGTGTTTTCAGGCTTGTCTATTGCGTTTGATCCCAGCAATGGAACCAGTGGCTTGCACGGCCAGAAACGAAGAGGAGGGCTTGTGGTGAGAGCTGGAAAAGCAGCTCTGTGTCAAACAAAAAGAAGCAGATCAAGAAAATCTCTGGCTAGGACTCATGGTTTCCGTTTGAGGATGAGAACCACTAGTGGTAGAGCCACCATCAAGCGCCGACGTGCCAAGGGACGTTGGAATCTCTGTCCTAAGTCCAACCCTAGCAGTGGCAAACGGGCTTGAAGGTGTCTTTTTGCTTCCTCATTCTCTCTCTCTCTCTCTAATATTTTTGTTTGATATGCCTTCTCGGCAGAAGATACAATGAGAAACATGATTTCGATGAGCTCTTGTCTGCTTTTGACTCTTTATGTATTCTTGATATCTTATAAAATCAACTTTTTCTTGGGGGAATTGATTCTCCATTGGATATTAGGGCTCGGCACTTCGGTTATTTTATCGGTTTGGTTAATTCGGTCCTATATTATTTTCCAACCGAAGTAAACCATAATTAGTTTGGTTTAGATCGGTTTCGGTTCGGTTTGTATTTGGTTCGGTTTGTATTCGGCTTGATTTGTGTTTCGGTTCGGTTTAATCGGATTTCCTTAGTATGTTTTTTTTTAATATAAATCATGTTTTAAAATATAAATGATGATGATGAAAATATAAACTATGTAAACTAAATCTAATATAAAAACTAAAGCAAAAACCTTTAAACACACAAAAAAATTATAAGAACACCATTAATCAAAGTTAACTAAAGTAAATAGAAAAAAATTTGTTAATCATAGCTATTAAAAATAAACTATCTAAATTAAATTCAATATAGAACTGAAACAAAAACCTTAACAACTTATATAAATTTATTTAAACACAATCCAACTAAAATTAACTAAAGTAAATTGAAAAAATGGAAAAATCAACATCGTTAACAAAGTTAATAGTGAATTTAGTTTTAGGATTTTAGTATATTTTATATTGCTAGTATGTTAAATTTAAATAATAATAAAACACATTCTCAGTTCGGTTTTAATTTGATTCGGTTCGGATCGGTTTCAGTTCTGTTGGTTCGGATTGGAAAAATCTTAAACCAAACTATTTGATAATAGACATTGGTTTGGTTTGGATCGGTTTCAGCTTGGTTGGTTAATTTGATTCAGTTCGGTTCGATTTTTTTGCCACCCCTATTGGATATACAATAGTGTACTTGCTTTATCAAATTTCAAATTGAAACTTCAAAACCAAAACCATTATCGAATCATGAATTCATGACAGAAGCTAGCTTCCTATTCCAGTTCCATATTTTCTTAGAAAATGTTCCAGATACTATAGACAACCAAGTATGCACAATACGTGACAAGATTTGCCACTTTGTTATCTCTTGCAAGATTATCCAGTCTGTTTTGATATCTCAGATTTTCTTCAAATAAATATGAGAAATGATTGTCCCTAGCAAAGTAGTGCTAGCGGTTGGTTAAAGCTATTTTTACTTGTTATTCTGTTTCCACCTACCAGCAGTGCCGGATTTAGGCATGTACCAACAGTGCACAAGCACATGACCCCATTTTATTTTTTTAGTTTTTTTCTTTGTGTTTTAGAACCCTATTTTTTTTTGTATTTTGGCAAGAAAAAGTCTAAATTTTATATTTACTAAATACAAATCTATATTTAATTTAGAAAATTGGTTTGCACAGGGCCCAACTTTAGGTTGAGCCGGGCCTGCCTACCAATTACTATTAAGTATTAACCTAAAAGACTAAAAGAAAACTTAGAAATTGAAATTATCTAAAGATTTATAGAGAAAATTTTCATCTAAACTAGATTTATTAAAAAAAGAGGGGTCAGATGGTGTAATAAAAGAGAGCACCCATTTGTCCTAAAAAGCTTTGGGCAGCTCCTACCATTCATCATATTCGCTTTAAGTTGCTTGAAGAATCATGATTTAGACACAAAGATAAAAAAAAAATTATAATCCTTTTTAATTTTTTTTCACAAAAATAATTTTTAAAGAGGAAAATGAGCAAAATAAGTTTTTATTAAAGATAAATATGCACTAATATCATTGGATTAACTAATTTAAACTTATTTAAGAATTAAGTGGTGAGATTTTTGATTTAGGGTCTTAAATTTCAAAAAAATTAAAAATTAAAAATTTTAAAGTAAAAAAACTATTATGGTGAGGATTATTTATGACAAAAATTTAAAACGGGTATTTGAGAGAATTGCCCATAAACTAATCACACCTCCTTCCTTTTTATATTCACCTCACTAGTTTACTCTTCTCCCTTCCAAGCCGAAGTGAGACTAAACTCAAACTATATTATTATATTTTTATATGTATACTAGGTAATAATCTGCATCCTACGCAGAGTAAGTTTGTTCTTATTTGATATCCTCCGCAGAGTAAAAATATGAATTTTAATTTTAAAACTTTTTGTTTTATTTGATATCAGATAGAATGAATAGAATGATACAAAAAAAATTTCAGTTATTAGTTATTATTGTATATACAATAAAATATTGGTTGAGGTTTTCTTAAGCATTTAGTGATACATAATGTTATTTAAATTACTAGTTAAGTAGAATATAATAAATAATTTATAATTCACTTGTTTTGGTATATTTGTATAATTTATATTTTTAGTTAGTTTTATATTAATTCTTTATCCTTTACCATTGTATAAGAAATAAATAATACTTTATTTGTAATAAAATTTGAAAAGAATAATCATAAATATATAAGTCAAAATCTATAATAAAAATTTGAAAATATTTCGATCAAATATTTTAGAGTTTTCTTTAAAAAGATATTTCTGAAGTTTTTAAAATACTTGAGCTCTAAAATCCATTCATGTGTCAATTTTTTTTTTAAAAGAACATAGTATTAGTGTGAAAACACTAAATTATAGCAATTTTTAGAAGGGTTTTCTTTTTGATACTTCAGTCTTTGTTGACGTGATACTTCAGTTTTGTTGAAAAAAAAGTTTACGGTGATGACACATCACAGTGATAAAATTGTCAATCTGTATATAATAGCAAACCTTTTTATACTAAAAGATGATGTCAGTTTTTTATAGGAAAAAAATATATCTAAGGGTGGAATTTGTTTTTAACTTCTAATCTGATGGATATGATTTGGTTCAAGGGGAGACAATGACGTCATGTATTCAATCGTCGTCTAATATCCACCAACCAAGTTATACCTCTTCTAAGGCGACTATTACACAAATAGCAGAACCGTCATCCTCTCTATTAACCGTCGTGTCTTTTCACAAATTTATATACTAAATAGAATTGACTCTATTAGTTGGCGTTTTTATTGTAGTTCCTTCACCAGATTCTTTAATTGGCTTTTTATCGCTGTCTGGATTTTACTTTTCTGGTAGTTATTGATGGTGGTCCCTCGATTCATAGATGCGTTGAATCGTTCTTCGATACATCTTCTTTCAATGTATCTTTCACCCAGAATCTAAGAATGGATTCTACATAATCAACTTTGTAATTAAACTATGTTTCGGTCAATTTCAAATTCGAGAAGGTTTGTTTTCCATATGTTGTTGCCCAAATTTCCCTTTATCTCCCGATCATTCACCATTCATGATCATTGCAGTTGCCATTGACATTCTCGATCATTGAAGCTTCATTTATGAATGTAATTCTTCTGAAACTTCCGATGTATTTTTGTGTGTTAAAGTTAAAGGACTTCCGGTATGAATTATGTGCTATTGAGAACTATTACTGTATTTGATTAATTGAGATCGACAATTCTTTATTCATCGTATTCATTATGGATTAAATTTGAGTCTGCTGTGTTCGTTTCTTCAATTACTATTTTTTCCCCGCGTGTCCCTATTTGAATGTGTCAAGAAACCTAGGATCGTATACAGTTTTTGTTTTTGTATTGATCAAGGTCAAAAGACCCAAGTATATATACATACAATGTTTCCTAATTGCATAAGATATGTACGTTTAGATAATAAGAATATTAACATAGTTGATTATATCCAAATATATGCTAACATATTCGTCTATATCCTTAATACCCCCCCCCCTCAAGTTGGAGAGTGAAGATCAAGAACTCCCAACTTGGGAAAAAACTCATCAAATTCTTTACGTCCAAGAGGATTCGTAAAGATGTCAGCAAGTTGAGAATGAGTAGAAACATGTTTGGTTGCAGTGACACCTTTGACTATCTCATCTCTTATAAAATGACAATCATTCTCTACATGCTTCGTACGTTCATGAAACACCGGGTTGGCAGCCAAGTAGATCGCAGATTTGCTATCACAATGTAGTGGAATGGGCTTGTCAAAGTGAATGCCAAATGTGCGAAGTAGGTTTCGAATCCAGAGAAGTTCTTGAACCGTGTATGACATGGCCCTATACTCTGCTTCACAACTAGAGCGAGAATCACAGTCTTGTTTCTGTGTTTTCCACGATATAGGGGAGCCTCCAAGAGTAATAAACCAGCGAGTAAGAGATCGTCGAGTAGTGGGACAACCTGACCAGTCAGAATCACACCAGGCAGTCAATGTAAGATCAGTATGAGCTTGAAGAAGGATACCTTGTCCTGGATTTCCTTTAAGATAACGTAAAACTCGTATTGCAGCATAAATTGAGCCAAAAGGTGTACGGAGTAAGCCAAATCAGGGCGAGTAACAGCCACGTATATAAGACGACCAACCAGTCTTCGATAAGCAGAAACGTCTGTAAAGTCCGGACCATCATCAAGAGACAATTTGTGATTTTGTTCCACATGAAAGGCTACGGGTTTTGCAGCCAGAAGTCCACATTCTTCTATAATTTCCAAAGCATACTTCCTTTGGCAAAGATAAATACCAGTAGGACTACGAGAGAGCTCAAGACCAAGGAAGTATTTGGAAACGCCTAAGTCTTTCATATGAAAACACTTATTCATGTAAGCCTTAAATGTAGACAAAAGTGATGGAGTACTGGCGGAGACAACAAGATCATCAACATAGACAAGAACTTGAATATAGTCAATACCACGATCCACGACGAGAAGAGAATAATCTGATAAGGACTGAGTAAAGCCGTAGGTCAGTAGAGAGGATGATAATTTCTCAAACCAACAGCGAGGAGCTTGTTTCAAGCCGTAAAGGGATTTCTTCAACAAACACACCTTGTTCTTACCAGAACCAGAGAAACCTGGAGGTGGTCGCATATAAAATTCTTCTTTTAAATCACCGTGAAGAAAAACGTTATGAACATCCATTTGGTGAACCTCCCAATTCATAGAAGCTGCAATTTGTAAGAAGGTACGAACCGTTGTCATTTTTGCAACCGGAGCAAAGGTTTCTTCATAATCTTCACATTCAACTTGACTGTTTCGTAAACAACCAATCGTGATTTTCGACGCTCTAAAGTACCATCG